ACTCGATACAGCCAATCAATGAGGGCCTGCAGGGCATCTGTGAATTGTCCAGAAAATAATAGGGCCTCCTCCAATTTGTTTTGTCTGGGAAAAAAAGGAGATAAATTAGCTTTCTGAAATTCCCCAATGATGGTGGGGGGTCCTGAAGCGGAAGAGTGAGTGGTCTTCACTGTTTCCTCTGCTCTCCTTAGAAAATACTTTTCTCTTTTATTCCTTTAAGTACATGCCTGGCATCTATTCCAGGAAAATTCCCTTAATCCCATCACTGTAAATCACCGACCCTTCTAGAGTCTAAATTAACATATGCATTTTAAAAAGCTTTATTTAAAGGATTTGTTTATTTACTTGTATGTGTGGAGCCGCCTAGAACAGGACCTTTTATTTCATCTTGATACAGGCTGAAAATCTATAATCCACACTCCAAAATTAAAAACGTCCCAAATCTGAAAATTTTCATCACCAGCACGATACCACAGAATCCCATACAATAAAACTCTACACCATATATGCTTCTACTAAAAACTGAAAAAATTGGCTTTCTAATTTTAGCCCTGTGGCCTTGGGATCCTGTGAGGAAGAAACATGGTGGAAGATCAGCCTCGGAGATTATGACAAGACTGAGTGACTCCATACTGTGAGTCAAACCCAGGACTGCTACCTCCCAAAACACATCATCAAGAGAAAGCCACTAAGGAGGCTGTCACACACCACCATAAAAGACACCCATCCCAACAGATGAACAATTCTCAACAGAGAAATACAAGAAAAATTAGTTGGCAGCCTCAGTAACAGATTAGATCAGGCAGAAGAAAAAAATAACAGAGCCCGAAGACATGTCTTCTGAATTGTTAGTGTCCAACAGGAAGAACCAAAGAGAAGTAGAAAACCGTGGAGAGAAAATGCAAGAGCTCTGGGATACCCTGGAAAAAGGAAGTATTCCAGTCATGGCATAGCTGAGGAAGAAGAGCTACAGGCCCGGGACACAGAAAACCACTTCAGTAGAACGACAGCAGAAAACGTCCCACACCTTGGGACATGGACATCCAGGTACAAGAAGCATTTAGAACCTCAAACACACATGACCACAGAAGTACGTCACTGTGACATACTACATTTAAGTTGTTAAAAGGACAAAGAAAGAATATCACAATCTGCGAGAGAGAAATCTCTAGTCACACGTAAAGGTAAATACAGTAGCCTAACAGCAGAATTCTCAGAAGGACTCCAAATGCCAGGAGGGCATGATATGGTTTATTTTGGGTCCTGAGAGAAAATAACCCACCAACCAAGACTGTTGTACCCAGCAGGTTTGTCCTTCACAGTCAAAAAAGACGTCAGGACCTTCTGTGGTAAGGGAACTCCAGACCACTAGACCAGAAGCACACCAGATGCTTAAGGGAATCCGGTACCCAGAAACAGAAAGAATTTGGTAAACACCGTCACTGAGAACATGAATACATCCCGCTAGGAGAAGACACGTGCCAATGAGGAAGAAAATAATACCTGTATACAGTAACACGTACAAGGGAAAGAGGAAGAAATAAGCAAACGACATTCAAAGCTACCAGGAGAAAACCAGAATGAGATGTAAGTTTATGTGCCAAGTGTTGGAACAGCACCTGATTTTCTAAAAACCAAACACGACTAGACATAAAAAGGAGATTTAGGCCCCACTGCAACAACAGGTGACTTTAACACCAAGAACAGCTTTGCATGACAGGAGAAAACATCTTCAAATCACACGACAGCACAAACAACTTCATGTGTCCCAGGAAACCTAAGCAAAACCACACTGGAGCCAAAGCAAGCCATCAAGATAAAACACTTCAGGATGCTGGCACAGGTGGACTTCCGAGATAAGACTTCAGAAGCAGAGAAAACAACAACAGACACCTGGTATTACATCCGAGGTTCTGCCCAGCAAAGCAGACAGTCTTCACCCCCTCACCTACAGAGTGAAACAGTATGTACTGGTTTGAATGAGAATGGAGCTCACAGGTTCTTATCTTTGAATACTTGGTCCCTAGCTGGTGGAACTGTTTGGGAAGGATTAGGAGGTGTGGCCTTGTTAGACCTGTGGCCTGGCTGGAGGTGACGTGTGGCAGTGGGCTTCGAGGCTTTAACAGATATTCCCAGTGTACCGCTCTCTGCCTCCTGCTTGTGGTCTGAGATGTGAGCTCTCAGGGTTCCTGACACCACGCGTTTGCCCCACCATCATGTACCCCACTCCTCTGAAATTGAAAGCCTAATTAAATGCTTTCTTTTATTAAAAATACAAAAAAATAAAAAAAAAATCACCCCAGGTTATATATGAAACATATAATTTCAAATTTAGACTAGACTCTCAAGATATTTTATGGTATATATTCAAATATTCCAAAATCTGAAGGAAAAAAAAAACACTGAAATCTGAGTATTTCTGATCTCAAGCCTTTTGGATAAAAATACTCAACTTCTCTGACAAAAGTAACTAGAACTAACGGCCAATGAAGAGTCTGAAATGCAGGGTGTTCAAACTTTTATACTACTATTGTACGTTCTTAAACAGACCTCACAAAAGTCATTGGGACAAAGGAAGGTTGGACGTCTGAGGGAATGCTGGGTCAGATCAGCGCTGCCTTGCATGCCACCTTACGGAGCCCGTTTTATGATATCCAAAAGCAAGTTCTTACAGGGAGTGAGAAAGAGAAATGATAAAGCTCTCACTTATATTCTAATATAACTATTCTATGAGTTATATGGAAATTAAAGGAGCAAACACGGTCGATCTGGGAGTCAGGCACGGGGGTACTGTCTGCAATCCTGGCACTTGAGAAGCTGAGAAAGGAGGAACAGTGTAAGTTCAAGGCTAGCCTGGGCTACCCAGTGAATTAAGAGGCCACTAGAATGCAGTGTGGGGCTGTCTGTAAGTACAAGCAAGTAGACCTAGTTAAAAATAAATAATAGCCGGACAGCCTCTTCAGTACAGGTGCTGTGTGAGTGGGTATTTAGGAAAAACAGATATTCCTCACCCAAAGGACTCTGAGGTCCACAAACTACCTCTGCAAACCCCCTACTGTGCATCTGAGGCAGGTCTACAAAGTCGCCAGCTGCCTGAAGGAACAGCCTACCTTTCCACAGACTTTCCACATATGGTGTCCCACTTGTCCCTGAGTTCACTCAGCATGTTGTCCAGCTTCAGGTTGTCATCAGCCAGTGAGGTTTTCTCCTTCAGGGAACGTCCAGTTCGATTGGTGGTATCATAGACAGAATGTTTACCTCCGAGTGATTTCTGAAACTCCTACATATTTAACAAGAAAAGAGTAAGTTTCTGCTTGGAACTATTTGTTTACCAGTAGGTAAAACGTGTTAAGAACAGGATCTTCTTTAAGTCTGAGCATTTGGTCATTTGTTCCCAGCGTCATGACCAGTCATGAACCTCCACATTAACTGTCATTCACTGCAAAGAGAAGCTTCTTTGCTCAAGGCTGAGGGCACTGCTAGCCTTTGGGTATAAATATAAATATTAAGGAGGCACTGTGACATGTCCATTTAATGAAACAAATGTAGTATGTTCATCTTTTGTGTCTATGACCTCTGAGCCATGGGTCTTTGACCAGTTCCCTACTAAGAGACCTCATATCAACTCTCAACTCCGCTGGTTACTCCCATACCAGTCATACCACTATTGCATCGGTAGGCATATTCTGCCTGGCAAGTTGGTGTTGTAGCATGCAAGTTGCATATGACTCCCTCCAAGTCCCCCAAAAATTGTGGAAGAGAGGGCAGAAAGAATATGAGCTGGACAATGGGGAAGAGGGCCATGAAGCATTGTCTTATGGGTATGAAGAGTCATGGCATGCATAAACTCACAGCAGCTGCAGTTGCTTACACAGGATTTGCACAAGGCTAAAACCCAAAATGTAAATATTTAGTCACAGGTTGGGGAGGGGCCCATGAAGCATGCCCCAATCTAGGGGAGTTATTGGTAGGAGAGGAATACTATTGGGGGTGAGGAAGTCACTGCCTTTAATAATGTAACGATTGAACTGTTATTCATGATCCACTGGCTAGATCTACACTCACGTCCTCATGGGTGGCCCTTGTTAAACCCAGTGGGTCACAAAGCAAAAAATAAAAAGAAAAGTGTGAAGGGGACTTGGTGGGAGCAGGGAGGTTTACTGGAGGTAGGAGAAGCATGAGAGAAGGTGAAGATAAGAGTATAACCAGAATGTAGTGTAGAAATGTTTGAAATAACCCAAGGACAAATCACTTTCGTTTAAAGAGGCATCTCTAACAAATGGAGGCCTGGCAATGGAAGACATCAGCAGGCAATTAAGCCTGATAACAACAATGTTCTGTGCAGGGATATCCCAGGACAGAACGGAATCTTAAACCTGACAACCCAGGGCTTGTTCTTTCTCTTAGAAGCTCAGGAACCCTAAGAGTATCTGTTATTATTGAGAAAATTTCAAAGCAAAACAAATCCTTTATCTTTTTGTTTGTGGAGATGGAGATTTCTAAAACCAGGACCTTGTGCAGTAACCATGGAGTTACTACATCCTCAGCCCAAATACTTTTGGAGACATAAACCATAAGCTCTGCAATAACCGTGATAAAATGGAACTGCCAATCAATGACTGAAAGGTTTCAGAGAGGAAAACGTGGCCACCTATGCATGAGTCCAGCCTGGACAGGGCGATCAGATAATGTAAACCTACTATAGGTTTATGTTGTTGTCAGGCATCCTTGTTACCTAATGTGGATAGTCACAATGAGGATACAGGTAATTTTGTCTGTGAGCTAGGAAGTCAGAACTGCCATTCTAGGGTCTGATGGTTAGACCCTTTAGAAAACCTTGATCTGTTCTCTCCAGCTGTAAAAAGTCTTATCTCCATCTTGAAAGACTGTTAGATTACTTTTCCAGGATCAAATAGCTATCATGCTGTGGTCATTTGAATGTAATTGGCCCCATAATCTCACAGGGAGTGGCACTATTATGAGGTGTGGCTTTGTTGGAGGAAGTGTGCCATTGTGGGGGTGGGCTGTGAGGTTTCCTATGCTAAGGATACTGCTCAGTGTCTCAGTTGACTTCCTGATGCTTGCAAGATATAGGATTCTCAGCTATTTCTGCAGCATCACATCTGCCTGAATGCCATGCTCTCTGCCGTGATGATAACAGACTGAACCTCTGAAACTGTAATTATATGTTTTCTTTATAAGAGTTGCTGTGGTCATGGTGTCTCTTCACAGCAATAGAAACCGTAACTATGACATGTACTAATGTACCATCTATTTGGTACCACTCTTTATCTGTTAGTTATGGTTTTCATGTGTGTATGTATGTATGTATGTGTGTATGTATGTATGTATGTGAGGAAATGAATTATATTCTTTCCACACAACTCAATAGTACTTATAGAACCAGGACTGTGTTTGCGGGTCTCTCAGTGGCATTTCCTAGCTAGCAGGTATTTGTAAGTATTTACAAAAAAGAGTAGAAAAATGAGACCACTGCTGCTGAAGGTGCACTCTCAGGAATAAAAAGAGAGAAAGGTCCACTTCGTGCAGACTTTCTAAGTTCATGGGACAGCAAGGTGACAGCAGCAGAGTGACTTTCAATGCTGGCAGCACACTGGAACCACACCGGATTGTGAAGTGCTAGGTAATAGGTGTCACCACGCTCTATAGCAGTGGTCCTCAACCTTCCTGATGCTGCGACCCTTTAATACGGTTCTTCATGTTGAGGTGGCCCCCAGCCATCACTAAATACAGCTGTAGTATTTCACTGCTACTTCAAAATTGTAATTTTGTTATTGTTATCAATCATAATGTAAATATCTGTTATGCAGGATGTCATGTGACCCAAAAGTTGAGAACTGCATCAAATCTGAAGGTTATAACTACCCAGTTCATTTTTATTGCATTTTAAAAGCTACTCTTTAAATGTTTTCAGACAAACAAGTTATTTATTTAGTCTAGTAACAGGTGGTAAACGCATCAGGAAAAATTTAAGAAAGAACACAATTATAGCATCCCACTATTTTTACAGTTTGCTACCAGTGAAGACTGTGTTTCTGTATTATTCTGAACAGAATGCTTGTGTTTAGAATCAAGGCATTGACATTAATTGTCTCCACACAGCAGACACATACTAAACAATTATTCGAGTACAGACAGACTAGAGCTTTCGAATGACAGAAGACCTCCAATGCTGGTTAGGAAGGTTTTTCTTTAAAATTGTTTTTATGGACTGTCTTAAGATATGTCTTGGAGAAATGGTAGACAGTGATAATAAATAACGTCGGGTAAAATGGAGACTGTAATATTCTCTGCATATTCTTTTTTTCTGGGTTTCTCTAGCTTTAAAATGCAATGCCACTTTTAAATTTAAGTAAAGCATTTTATTTTGAGCAGAAGGCTAATTTTTCCATCAGAGGAGTATGTTCAATGCTGGCCGCTGTGGCAGCTCACAGGAAGAAGCCATCAGCAAAATGAGCCAATGATAAAGCCTAGTCTGCCAGAGGGCACGTGTTTCCTCCTCATCCCCTGATCACGACCCTCTTGGTCGCGATTCACAGAACACATGTGAAGTCGATGTCTAGATTTTTTGAGGAAGATAAATCTTAAACTATCCTACAATTTTCTCGTCTTTTAAAACGACCATGTTCTTCTAAGCAGTAATTTACATGTAGAAGTCTGAAATTGTAACACTATTCACAGTAATGAGGCTCAGCTGCTCACCCCACACCTTCACCCACATGACCAGTGGCCACTTCATAGCACACAGGCACAGACACAAAGGAGCTGAGCAGAGGAGGTAGAAACACTCTTTGAATGACTCCTGGAAGGAGTATAAAAGGAAAATATTTTTTTGAAACACTGTTTCTACATTCTTCTATCTCATAAAGAAGCTGGTAAGTCTTTGAGAGAAGGAATGGAGTTTTACACACACACACACACACACACACACACGCACACGCACACGCACACGCACACACGCACACACGCACACACGCACGCATTCTTGGATACTGTCAACTTTTCCACACACCTCTGCACCTGACTCTGTACACCTTAAACTCCAGACTTTTCTCCGAGGTGGGACTGTTGCTTTAAAGAACGGTAAGTTAAGAGGGCCAGCACAGAAAGCTGAAACGGCGGTGCTCAAGTGGTTCTGAACCATAATGCAAATCTTTTTTTGGGGGTGGGTGGGGGGCGGTCTCTTGTGATGAATACACACACGGACAAGGAAGAATTAATGGTGGTCTTGAAATGCACACTGAGTGTGCTTTTTAAACGAGAAACTCACCTTGTGCTGTGCCAGCTGTGTTTTTATTTTGTCTGGATCATTGGCGATTTCCAGTTCAGAATCCAAACATTTTTCTGACTCGTCCAGCCACTCCATTAGTTTACTCCAAGCTTCGTGGAACTGGTAAAGAGACCCACGTTTACTCAGAAAGTGGTGAAGTACACAAGGGTTGAAATTTAGTGTACTATACGACAGAACCGATCACCAATGGATATACTAGAAATCATCAATTCAGACTTTCCCCTGAAGACACTGGGTAATGTGTCATTAGCCAACTGCACAGTGGCCTGCTCCACTGGACACGTGACTGTGGCCTGCGGTCATGCGGCTGTAATTCAGTCAGCACACCAGCTTACTGAGTCCAGGAAAGAGCCAGACAGTTAAGGAGTTCTGGGGACCCCACCACCATACTGCCTCCTTTCGCTCAACAGTTAACATAAACTCTCAGGAAATATCTGTTTTGTTTTTTGTTTCTCTGTCTCTTTACATATCTTGAGATTTTTCTCTGTGCTAAACTCCTATGTTAAGAAAAAGAAAGAAAAGAAAAAAGTCCAACACTTGTGAATTATTCTTTAAACGTGGCAAGAACAAAAAAGGCCATCTCCCTTCACTCCAGGGGGCAGACTAACAAATCACCCCTGCTCTCAGCGCTGACCCACCCGTGTGGTCCGATACATACGCACAACCACTGCCACGCTAGCATTCTGCCGATGTTTAATTCTGTTTGCCAACCAGGCGCTTGGAAACATCCTGGGTCAGCACATGTTTGATTCTAGCCAGTTTATCTTCTGTTTATCTTTCAGAAGAGCAATCAGATACAAATTCTGGATGCCAGTTATGGAACTGGTTACACGGCATTTCTTATAATAAATTTAAATAAAGAGCTACATAACGAAAGCTAAAGAAATAAGCATCACATCCCCGTACACCCAAACCCACTGATAATGAAGTAACAAAAGCTGTACAACCTACAACAAAGATGTGTGAATTAATGCCACCTCCCATAGCCTCCTAATTAATTTAACTACTCTAACTCATAGCGGCACGAGTCACATGGACTCACAGGCTGCAAGAGTGCACTAGAGAGCACACATCACAGACTCGGCACACATCACCCTGCCCAGCACATCCCTCACACGGCGCCAATCAATTTAAATGTAAAGGAAAAAAAAAAGAGCCAGGACAAACTCATGATAGAGAGCTACAATCAGTACATGAGTCAAAACTCGGAAGAGGAAAGACATGATTCGAACAGCCTGATGGGGTGACAGGTAGTTTGGCTCTCAAACAGGTGTGCAAACAGCTGCTGAGTGGTGTAAATACACGGGCCTGGACGCTCACCCAACCTCCAAGGCGATGCCCAAGCCCCAGAAATAGGTCAAAGGCTACCCATTCGCACTGGAAGCAGGAACACAGAAAGCTGGTCAACAAGAGGAGACCCCAACATTGGTTAGAGGGAGAAATGGCGAGCAGCGACTAGCATCCGACAAGGCTCCGTAAATTAGCCGTTCATAACTCCAGAAATAACTTCGGAGAGGAATATGTTGGGTTCGGAATTAACATTGTCTGGCAGAACCATTAGAGACTGATTCTATTTCAGAGACCAAACTCCTCACTCAGGAAGGGGCTTAAGACATTTCTAAAGCCTTTAAATTCATACTGCTAGCTTTAAACACCAAAGGCCAGAATCCTGTAAACACCCTTTGGCATCACCAGTGAGCCCAGCTCTCCAAACAACACACTCCAACATTACCAATGCCAGACAACAGGAGCCGGATGAGGCAAAGGTAGAAACCACAAAATTCAGCCTCAATATTACATCGCTTCTAGGAAAAAAAAATTAATTAAAAAATTCTCTGCCAAATAAGGTGGCTACATCCCCAATGGACAGAAAGATGTGTAATTTTCCTCTTGTCTGTGGTTAGTTTGGATGAATGTTAGTTAATGACAGGTTAAGAGAGAATGGAAAGCTCTCGGTGAGGTTTGTGAGAGTCCCTAAATTAAACTAAAAGCAGCCCCCAGAGATTCAGATAATTAACTTCAAGTGGGATGGAGCTATACCAAAATCTTTGGGAAGAGAGGGACGTCAACAAGAGTGTGTCCCTCAGGAGGCACTGGGGAGGCCGTAGGTCTGGTCCTCAGCTCTGATGTGACCGAAGCTTGGCTTCCAGAGCCTGCAATAGAAGAGGGTCTGGTGCCCCTGTCTGAGTAGGAGACTAGAGGTTGAAAGGAAAGGGGAAAAATAAACACACTGCAAAACAAAAAGCAGTAAGTTCTTAATGGGCCTTGATGATCATCTATGAAGTTGAGCTATTGATAGCTTCTCAAGATGAGTCCCCATGGCCCAACGTGGCTGCCAGGACAAAAAGGTGACGTCGTTGAGAGTCCAAAGGCAGGCCCATTTGGACTCGAACACCACAGCTTCTCAATGTTACAGTAAAAGCCCCGCGATAGCACATTTTTCACAGCTTCAGCTCCCTGATTGCCAAGGTCAGAGAACACAACCCAAGGTCACTACCTGTTTGGCCCTCTTCCTCGCGTCGTCCAAGGACCTTCCTCTCTCCACTAACCGCTGGACCACCTTCTCCCACCGACTCTGCACGCTGATGAGCAGGTTCTTGATGAGCACCACATCCTGTTTCTGACTGAAGTACTTCAGGTGGGTCCCAGTTTTGTCTAGTTCTATTATCTGCTCACGGTGAGAATTCACCTCATTGGCGAAGACCTTTCCCCACACAAAAAAGGAACATAATTAGAAACAAGGGGAAACGGACTGACTTTGAAAGTGTACGCCTGTCACGATGCTTGCGGTAAAGGACAAAGAGAAGTTCTCAGGTGGGGAGGTGAGGGGTGAACCCAGGAGGAACAGGGTGGGGGGCAAGCGTATAGGAATGTGATCAAATATGCTGCGTATCTGTATGAAATTCTCAAGGAATAAAAAAAATACATCAAAAAAGAAAGTTTTCTAATTACTAAATGGATGTTTCTGACAGGAAGGCAGACTGGTCTCTGGATGTCAGGCGCTTCCAATCTGAGTTCCCACGTACCTTGTGCTCATCGATTTGAAACAAGATTGTGTCCAAGATAAGACTTGGCCGAGAAGCCACATTCAGGGTTTGTTCGGCCTGGGTAAGCCAGTTGATGAAGTCCTGGAGGGAATTGTGGAAGTCCATGGCTAGGTGGAGGGCCTCTTCCAATTTAGTCTGTAAAGGAAGATGGTTTAGTATTTGGTGCTCATCGTGGTTTGCTGTGTTTCAGTTTAATCAAATGGCATTCCTGGAGGGGGTCGCTGCCCTGTGAGGACATGGCATATGTTCCACCAGTGATGGCTACAATCTTTTAGCCAATTGCTTTTTGCTGCATTAAGGAAAATTCCTGAGATCCCTAGATTATTTTTCTATTGTTTGAAAGAATGATAAAATGTATATAATTCTCATCCGTTTTACGTGAGCGATTATAAAACCTAAGCACAATCCTATCATTCTCTCTCGTTTAATTTGTGATTAGAATACAATTATTTGTAACCTAGAACTTGAGTGGTTCATATTTTAAAAACTGCCAGCGTACAAACCGAGTAACACCTGACCTGCGATAAATCTTTATCTGCGCTGTATCTCTGTTCTCCGGGGTACGAATACTATGTTTAACTTCATGGAACACCGAGTGTATACCAAAAATATGGACACGAATCACGAAAATGCCACTTCTGGTAGCTCGGAATAAAACCCAACCCGAGAACTAGCGACAGGCTAACTCTGCCCTGCTGTACCCCTCCAGGCACATACTCTCTTCTCGTTGAGTTTGCTCTTCACCGATTCCCATTTCTCTTTCAAGTTGTTTATGTCTTGGTCGATGTTCGTCTCTGCAGATTTGGGGCATCTTGCGAGCATCTGCTGCCCTTTCTGCATCAAACTCTTGTACGTTTCTTCTTTGATGTCAAAGGCAGTGCAGACTTCCTAAAATGAGATGCCCCCACGTCACATGACTTGCCAAAGAACAAAATCTAACAGTTACAGATATATATTTTTTCATTTGCCAAGAAAAGATTTACTTGTAATGCGCATGAGTGTTTTATCTGCCTGTCTGCACAAACGTCACGTGCATGGCTGCTGCCCATGGAGGTCAGAAGAGGTTGAGTGAGGGTGTCAGGTCCCCCTGGGACCTGGAGTTACAGATGGTTATGAACTGCCATGTAGGTGCTTGGAAATGGACCCGGGCCCTCAATAAGACCAACGAGTGCTCTTCACCACTGAGCCGCAGTCCTCAGAGTTTTTTTTTTTTTTAAAGGTCCATTCATTCTAAGCCTCTTATCACATGTTTACCTTTCTGCTTACAGAGCAACCCTGACAGACAGCTGCACTCTACTCAATACTGAAATAGCACGTATGCTTATAGCCACACCCTGTCTCCTGAGAAATCTATCACTGCATGCTGCGTGCTAAGGCCTCAAGCGATGGCTGGCATGCTGTCAAGAGGGGTCTCGCTGCACACTGACAAGTGAGATCCGCGATGCTGCGTCAGCAATTACGTTTCTCTGAGTGTTTCCTCCTCTGGAAACGGAGGGAAACTTCTGTGTCCTTTTTGCCATGATAAAATAACTGAAAAAAAGTTACTGGTACAGTCTAATCCTGTACTCGGGAAACATGTAATGGACAGGAAAAAAAAAGAATCAGTAAAGAAAGATGCGCACGTTGATATAAAGATTCCCAGATTACTGGAGCCACATTTGAGATACCATTTTCATTTATAAATTCTTAAAAGTTGCCAGTTAGAATGCTGTGTATATCCTCTATGGTGAATACAGGAAAGTATTGCTAAATTAAAAGTATAACACCAATGAAGCAATAGTTAGAATTCGTTAAAAATTAAAGAACCCAATTTTTAGCACATTGAATTATAACGTGGGTTGAATCACAGTTCTGATAGAAAGTTATACACTCCACATCTTACTGGTATTTTCAGCTTAGTAATTTTTTAAAAATCGAGCCAAGTTTTATAAAATTAACCATTTGAAGTAGACTATTTAGTGATCTGAGTGGAGTCACAATGCTCACTAACTACATTTTCATATTCCTTCGTCCCTGAACACATCGACAGTTTCACTTTTACAGGAGCATCACATCACGAAGCAGCCCCAGGATGTGGCTACTCCACATTTTCTCATCTTCATTGCTAGCACAACCAGAAGGAAAGAAAAAAAAACTACTGCCACGGCATTGCAGCTTTAGCACTTGCCAGGAAAGATTGGTTTATTTATTTATTTACTTGGTTTTTCGAGACAGAATTTCTCTGTTGTAGACCAGGCTGACTGGCCTTGAACTCATAGATATCCTCCTGCCTCTTCCTCCCTAAGTGCTGGAATTAAAAGCGTGCGCCACCATGCCCAGCTTAATTTTTAAATTTACGTGTGCACGTGTGGGTGCATGTGCACCATGTGTGAGCAGGCGGCTGAGGAGGCCAGAAGGTGTTATCTGAAACCCCGGAACTAGGGCTACAGGTGGTTGTGAGGGGCCATGCAGGTGCTGAGACATGAACCCTGGTCCCCTGCGAGAACAATAAACAGTCTTTACCAGTGGCTTATCTTTCTAGGCCCTCTTCAGACTGTAGTCAAGGGAATCATACAGGGTTATACAGAGTTCACTTTGTGTATCCCACCCGAACTAAGTATTTTATACACAGTTGTTTTCTGAAAGTTCTTAAGATGAGCTCTCTGCTTTCAGTTCTTGTATGTTTTTTTTTTTAAGTGTAACACTCTGAAGATAGAATTAATTATTAATTAGTTAATAAGTTATGAACTGTGTGAAAGTGCAGTAAGCATTTCCAGGGAAGCAATGAACTACTTGAGTTCGCTGTGCTATTAAAAGTCACTCATGGTTTCACAAAGATGAGCAATCTTAGGTTACGAATCAGTAGACAAGACGGCTTTGTCCTCTAGCAAATGGGTCTCGCCCAGTCGCAAGGGGCAAAACCAAACCATAGGGTCACAGGCATATGCCAAGGTTAGTCTGATCATTTTAGAGATGTTTCTTCATACTGCTTATAACGTGGGGTGTGTGTGTGTGTGTGTGTGTGTGTGTGTGTGTAAGAGAGAGAGAGAGAGACAGACAGACAGACATACAGACAGAAAGTGAATGTGTGTTACTCAAAACTGCTAGACTTTTTTAAATCCTTTTTTTTTTTTTTTTTTTTTTT